AATGAATGCACGAAATGAATGTAAATGATTTGCCATGCCTGATTACGATCAAGGATGTAGTCAGTTTTCGAAACAGGGCAGTCGATCAACATAAGACCAGGGCGTCACAATATCAGCTTCAATTGACCAAATCGATGCGACGAAGAGACTGCTGGCTTTCTTTTTTTGTTAAAGTCGAACAGCTTCGCAGCATTCTAGAACCTCAGTCGGCGTGCACAAACAAATGTTCAATCGCTTGTCTCTCTTTCTCCCGTCGCTCCATTGGTCTTCCTTTCAAGCTTCGGTGAAACGGATGAGCGAAAGAGCGCTCGACTTTGATAGTTCTCTCTTTCATGAAACACATCAACAGAGGTTTCATGACGTATATGACGGAAAATTAAATAACACATTTAAAGCATTTCTCACGTGAAAACACTTGAAGATTACACGTAATATGTTTAATTTATCTTCCATCCACATATTAATCTAAAAAAATGAACGAAAACGGGACATAACGCATTTTAAACAAATTGAAAGAGCGGTGATAGAGTGTTCGTGAAAGGGGATTGAAAGCCATAATAAGGTTTCGTTTAACTAGAAAATCGACATTACTTACATTGAAAGCGATGAGTAAAGCAACGACGAGAAGATCCACAGCCAGCGTTTCCTTCTAAGCGTGCTTCTTTTTCATTATCATTTCCTGCTGATAGTCTAGCAAGGCGTTGTAGAAATGAAGCGTTGAACACGTTTGTATGAGAGAAACAAAACTCGAGTTCATTTTAGAGCTTCGAAAATGTAGAGCCCTGCATAAGACCGAATACCATAAGCTTGATTTCTTATGCCAACATTATGATGACTATAGTACCATAGAGGTAACTCTAAGACTAGAAGGTCCCGAAATAACGTGCTCAACTTTTTGGCTCAGCTCTGGTACTCTCTTCGGTCCCAAGCTAATCGATTCACCCCTCGAAACATAGGAAAATCCACTAACCCCTCATTTTATCTGTCAAACTTTCATATATGAATATAGCGAATCAAAATAAACATAGTGTAGTACTAGAATTTCGACTATAATGGGGCACGTTAATCGTTTGCTTGGGACCAATAGGCTAATCAAGTAGTGAGCCAATTTAAAATCGTTAGTTTCGTATAGATTGTTGATAGTACTTCCAATCGGAATCAAAGACCGAGCAGCAATTCAAAGAACACAATATTTATGCTTCACGATGCAAAAAACTTTTGCTGTCATATATTTCGAAAAACTGTGTAAAAGTCGAACACGAAATTATTGCAACATTTACCACTAACTGGCTGAATCTTTATTCCTACTAAGCGGAAATTATCCAAACGTTGTATAGTTTCTCTTTGAAGTGTAGTTAGCGGGCTTGGTGGTTACTTGGGAGCATGCTTGGCATACACAGTTTTGGTCACGAACTGCTCATTTGCTAATAGCTTTGCACACAGTTGACGGAACATAGTTCTTTTTGAAGCAGTAGATAGAATAGGGTGAAAGCTTGTTATAGATATGTAAAAAAAAAAGTAGATTTAATGCTAGTAGTAAACTGTATTTGTTTTTGCGTTGTAAAAATGAGGTGAGAAATGGTGACTGCATATCTCGGAATTTAAGTGTTAAATTGATTAGTGTTGATTCAAATGTTAAGCTTTACCTAATCTTCGCATATCTATAGTAAACTATGAGCCTTATCTATCAATTAATTAAAAAAAAATTTTAACATCTGAGTGAAAAGTTATTACCAAAAGAGCAGTTGGTGTGTACAACTGTGCATGCCAAGCATGCTTGGGAGGTTCAAGGACCGGTTGATATTGGATCACAAGCATAGAGAAGGAAGGAAACCAGAATCGGCATGTAGGAAGACGGAGGGAAAAGTGAAGGGTAATTTCACCCGAAATCTCAACATTTCAACACGTGATGTTGCCAAAAAGGTCGATGTTTCACAAAGTTATGTGCAGAAGGTCAAAGAAAGAGCTGGATTACATGCATTCAAGGTTAAAAACTTCCCAAACCGCGATGAACGCCAGTAAACTGTTGCCAAAACCCGCGTAAGGAACCTCTACACGGAAATGTTAACCCGATACAGCTGCTGTGTGATGAAACATACGACAAACCTGACTTCCAACAAATAAAAGGACAGGAGTTTTACACCGGAAAAGATAAGTTCCTAGTTAATGATCGTTTCAAGAAAAAGAAAATGTCGAAATTTGTATCAAAAGACCTTACTTGGCAGGCTATCTGCACCTGTGGAAAAAGAAGTAAAATATTCATCACAAAGGGCACCATCAATCAAATGAATGCCTCCAAAAACGTCTGCTGCCATTTTTGAGGAAACACAGTGAAAAACCATTTTGTGGCCGAACTTAGATTCATGTCAATATTCTAAAAGCGTGCTGGAATGGTATGAGGCTGAATTCGGTGCATTTTGTTCCCAAGGACATGAATCCACCGTACTGTTCAGAACTACGCCCAATCGAAACCTATTGGGCAATGATGAAGCGGGAACTCAGAAAGACCAAGGAAAAAGTAAAGGATGCATATGACATGTAAAGGAAATGGATAAAAAATGAGAAAAAAGTTACCTGATATGACTGTACAAACTCTTATGGATGGCGTTAAGCAAAAATTTAGGGAATTTTACCAAACAACCCCCAAAAATTGATCCAATATATGTATACTGAGTTGAATACATGCATAGAACCTCCCTACAAATTTGGTTTTTATCTGATAAATCCAAATCAGTGAAATTTGAGAGCAAATTTAATGTGTTGCAATAATTTCGTGTTCGCCCTTTATAGGGGAAATGTATGTAATGTCGGCCTAAGTGTCCCTAATTTGGGCCCATACATAAATTCAGCAATCTACTAAATTTTCAAAAGCAACCAAAAATATCCATTGGTACCGTCCCAATGACGCGTTCATCTAGATAAAATTGAAAAATAGCAGATTTTTAGCGATGGGCCCAATCTTAGATCCACAGGCCAACATTAGAGCCATTTAAGGAGAAATTTGCTATGACGAAGCTCGCGGTTCCAAAATAATGGAAGTTGCAAGAACAGAAAAAAAAAATGTATGAAATGTGTTTTCCAGTACAATTTTAATAAGGGAGGAGAAGGTGAAAGGATACCACAAGAGTTCATTCGATTTTACGTGATTTTACGGCCAAATAATCCGAGATTATCTTCGTTATTGCATGTATTTTAAAGTGTATCAACCTATTCATCAATATTTATCAACTTGCACTGTAAACAAAAACACCAGAAAATGGTGCTTTATTTGATTATTGATAATTTAAACATATTTTAATAGTTAGACTAGGTAGGTGCCGAAAAAAGGTTAATTCCGTGACTTTTTTTTTGCGAACGGAAACACTTTAAAAGAATGTGGCTTTCAGCATTTTATTGAAAATATTTTTAACAACATTATCCCATTTTTTGTTTTTTTTTAATGCGCAGCAAGGTAGCGCTGCAGTCATCTAAGTGATGGCATCATGAAAAGGAGTATCTATGAACGAAGTTAAAGTCGTTTTATTGACTGTAACTTGGTGCGTCAAATTACTGGAACATAGGAAAACTAGTTCGTCATTATTAGGCACACGATGTACGATAAGTTGTCATCATGAAAAGGTAAGTTCGTTGGTACATATAAATTCATTGAAATAATTCGTTTTTGAGTACATACAATAATACATAAATAACCCTTTTTGTCAACCCCTCCTTGAATTTTTTTTTTTCTAAAATAATACGAATTCCATGAGAAATCAAGATCTTAATCCACCCAAACAAAACAATACAAATTAATCTTTTCAATGCAATAGAGTTAAAATAATAGGAATTGTTTATCTAAAATAATTAAAATTCGGATGCAGAGTGATTGACAAAATTGGAACAATACTGTAAATAATATATTTTAAAACATTACATTATATATTGGTTTGGGGGTACCCTAAGGGAATCAAAGGCTTTGTTGACTGGACGAGGATTAGTGGATTTGCCAGTCCCTTGTCAAGTGATTACAGATGGCCATCTGGTAGTTTTTTTGGTCTTCAATGAAGCTGATTCACCCTGCAACAAACCATCAGGCAGAACTTTACAACCGGTAAAATATCTGCAGACATTGGTAATCCTAGCACTGATGGTGGGTTCCATTCACATCACATCACATCACATCACATGGACGACTATAAACGCATGGGAAGGGAGATCACTAAAATCTCTCAAAGCAGGTGACGAGGTCCATCAGAAATTAGCGATGATGGCACCATCGAACCACCATCAATTCACGCAAAGATTGACAGTTTCTTATGGATTTTTTCAGTGGAGTGAAAGGATAAGATTATATGTTCAGCGGGGCATAAAAGACTACGCGTCTCCACTAATTATACAAATATTTTAGACTAGCTTCATATTCTTTCAACATTTCCAGCATTCTCACCATTTATCACGTGGTACGATTCGTGTCATTTTACTGCTCCCACCACAGTGGCGCGTTCCATCGGTTTCCTTCATCACTCAGTCGTACAAATGACATGGAAGACACCAATACAGTCACATGTTTCGATCCTCTGATGGCCGGTTGTTATAAATGAGGTTATGATGATAGCACTGCATCAAGCCGATAGCCGGCTTGAAAGCATCAACATCTGTTTTTTGTTTTGATTGCTGCTTTCGGTTTTCGACAAATGGCAATGTGTATGTGAAAGAAGCATAAATAACGGCATAATGTTTTTAAGCATGTCGGTATGTGTGCGAATATTGTACACGTCAAAATTTTCTTTCTGTCGCATAGTGACGTTCTGCTGACAGACATCGGTGAAAAAATCATTTTCCGTGAAAAACTGCAGTGTTTTGATGGAAAATCTCAGTAAAACATTATTTTGATTATATCAGGAAATAAATTTGTTTTTATAATATAACAATTGAAATGATGACAAAAGTTTTGAATTGAAAAGTTAATGAGCATCATAGGGATCTTTTCAATTACTAGATGTTTGTGAAATTGTTTTCCACGGCAATGATCAACTACTGAATGTGTAAATTAACTTTATTAAATTTTCAAAAAGTGAACTACTGAATTACTGTTGAAAAATCAAACAGATTTCAAAATGTTCCAGGTACACAACGCGTTCAATCAGATTACATAAACCCTTTTATTGATATTTTCTGCTCTCATTTCCCAGTCTAGCGCAAACCGAAAAGGAGCAAAAGGAAAGGTGCTCGATCCCGACATAGGTAAAGAAACTGGGTTATGAAAAGTTTATAAATGTGGCTATAAATAATTGAACAAATGCCGCTTCTTTTTTTTTATTTTTAGATTACTCTAAAGTAAAAAGTGTCCATAGTATCTCGTCCTGGTGGGGCATCGGTGGGATCTTTTTAATTCTCTTCATCGGTAACCTGACTAGCTACACAAATTCTCACCTGCCAGACGCCCTTAAAAATGCTCACCTATCCAAGTACCCCAACGCATTTATCGCCGAGCGTGCTTATAAAGATTTGAAAATTCTCAATGATTTCGGACCAAAACCAACCGGCAGCTATGCCAACGAGGTACTGGCGGTGGATTTTCTTTTGCGTGAGATTTCCTACATCGATCAGCTCAAGAACAAGAATCAAAAAATCGTTGTCGATAAGCAGATCGTATCCGGTGGATATGTTGGTGTCTACATGAACAAGTCTGCAACTAGCGTCTATAGAAACGTTCAAAATGTGATAGCCAAACTGGTGGGGAAGAACGAGGACCATGCACTGCTAATAAATTGCCATTTTGATTCAGTTGCAACAAGTCCGGGCGCTAGTGATGACTTGTCTGGTTGTGCAGTTATGTTGGAAATACTGCGTGTCATGTCTAGGCAGTCGGACATTAATCAACATTCAATTATATTTTTATTCAATGGAGCAGAGGAGACACCACTGCAGGTATGAAAGCCCATTATTAGTTAGTCATTTGATTTCTCATTTACACATTTCATTTTAAAAAATATATCAATACATATATAGTCAAAAATTTTCCCACCACCACCACCACCACCAGTTTATTTATTAAGCTGGTGGTTAAAAAAATCAATTAATAGGATTTTCTTTGAAAACATTTCATAAACGATCGCGTTCACAAACAGGAAAAGCATGTAGTATTACGATGAAGGGTGTAGTCAGTTTTCGAAACAGTGCAATTTTTTCGTGGAGTGTCATTAGGCCGATCACCATAAGACCGAATACCATAAGGTTGATTTCTTATGCCAACATTATGATGACTACTTCCAATCTGAATCAAAGACCGAGCAGCAATTTAAAGAACACTATTATTTTATTCTTCACGATGCCAAAAACTTATGCAGGTTGTTTTGAATGAAATTTCGAAAGGAATCTTAACAAAATTCAAAATAAATTTAAAATAGAAATCAAATACATTTCTGAGGATAGTTTCAAACCAATTCTGCGGAAACTTCCGAACACTAAAGGATTGCTAAAATGGAATTCCAAGGAATATTTCATGGAAATTCCGGGGATAACTCCAAGGATTCCAGGATAATTCTAAGTGAATTCTAAGGACAATTCAAAGGGAATTCGTTGCGTAATTCTTAGGTAACACAACACTGAAAAGATTTCGAAGGGTACCAACAAAATAAGGAAGTGCTGCCATTAATTCCAAAGGCAGTTCTGAGTATAATTCCTCTGGCATTCTGAAAATTCTTGGGATCATTCCAACTCAATTCTAATGAGTATTTCAAAAGCTGTTAAGAATAGTTTGTTGGAAATTTCAAAAACAATTCCCAGGATATTAAATTAAGGAGATCATTTTAAGAAAATTTTCGAACAACTCACTTTAAGAAATTACATCAACTCACACGACCGATATTGAAGACAGATATAGTAGGGCAAAAACACCTGAAGGGGAAATGGAAGTAAAATGCCCATAGCGAGAAAACTGCACCCCTTCTGTACCTGCTGCTAGTTAATATGATGGCGAAAAATTTCTGCCATACGTCAAACTTAAAAAGTACTATATGATGGAAGCAAACAATGGTTAAAATGCCAACAAAAGTTCAAATTGATCAAATTGAAAAACAATTTTGGTACAAAACCACTCAAAAAAAGTTATTTCATGAAACAGTTGGTATCTCAGAATATAGCCAAAATCAAAGATTTGATTGATGCATGTTCTTAGATACATCCTTAATCTTTTGGCTCAATAGATCGTATGGTAGGGGAAATGGATGTAATGTCGGCCTAAATGCCCCTAATTTGGGCCCATACATAAATTCAGCAATCGACTAAATTTCCAATAGCGACCCAAAATATACATTAGTGCCGTCCCAATGACGCGTTCATCTAGATAAAATTGATAAATAGCATATTTTAAGCGATAGGCCCAATCTTAGATCCATAGGCCAACATAAGAGCCATTTCCCCTATGTTTATTAGAAAACTAGTAATTTACAACGTTATGCGTTCCCAGAATAGTAGTGTGGAAAGCATAACCATTAGGCGTGAACGTTTGATATTCGATGCATTATGAACAAATATTAAGCCTAAATGTATGCTTTCCTGGCATGAAATCTGCGTATTTTGCCCCTAAGTGTTTTGAATACAGGTTTTTGTGGGCCTTTCAAATTTCATCAATTTAAACAAGAATTTATCAATTTTCGTCAACTACATCCATTGTAATATCTACACACTAAGATTATTTCACAGATTTCTATGAAATTTTACCGAAATCTCTAACGCCGAACGTCTGGTAAACAATTCGGTGATTTTTCACAGTTTTGCTGTAAATTTATACAGAATATCTGTGAAAATTACAGGAAAACTGTGAAAATCACCGTTTCGATGTTGAAATTTCGGTAAAATTTAAATCTTAATGTGTCAATAGCCTAGTCCAACAAATAGATTGTATAGCACTTAAATATCGATTCACTTTGTGGATTAAACGGGAATCTTCTTTAGCATAGGGCATTTCACCAAGGGCCTGACACGCCGCCTTCTTTTCGTAGCCAGCATAAAAACGTGATCACATATCAATCCAAGCGGGCCCAGAGCGAAGCCCGCACATATGCTCGCTACGACTACTTGTTATTAGTAGAGATAGGGGTGCCACCTCCTTGCATTTCACACCCATCTGCCCAATATATTTAAAAAGTCTAAAATGTCATCAAAGTGCATAATGGCCTGAAACCCGCAAAAATAACGCCAAACTATCTAAACAGTCAAAACTTTAAACGCAAAAAATTACAGCAAAACGTAAAATGACCTGTGCAATAGCGTAAAAACGATCAAGTGGATTGGAAATCCTTAAAATAAGATTTAAAACCTTTAAATGAAAATGGATTATATGAGAAGCAAAAAACTGTGTTTCAAATTTACAAAAAAAAAATCTCCAAAATAGTCAAAAACCTCAAAAAGTCTTTCAAATAATCAAAATACAGTGAACTCTCTAAAACTAGATATTGAAGGGATTATCGAGTTATAGAATAACAATCCTGTACAACATCGCTATCACAGTAGCCACGAATATTTTTTGCTATGGTTCTATAACTCGATATCGAGTTAGTGGACATCGAGTTATGGAGAGTTTACTGTAGTCTTAATATTTTGCGCATCCAAATCAAACCAAAATTTTGCTTAAAATCACTAAATAGTCTGAAACATCAAAAAGCTATCAAATCAAACACTGAATAGCTCAGCAAATAATATGGTAAAAAACGTTTCAATCACAAAAAGCCCAGGCTACCATGGAACGCCAAAATACCTACAAAAACGCTAAAACAGCCTGGAAACTCCCAAAATATCCTCTGAAATGTCAAAATAGCCCAGAACCGGCTCAGAATTGCAAACATGGCCTTGAGATCACCAAAATAACCTTTAGAACGCCAGATGGTTTTAAGACTAGAAGGTCCCGAATAAACGTGCTCAACTTTTTGGCTCAGCTCTGGTACTCTCTTCGGTCCCAAGCTAATCGATGCAACCCTCGAAACATAGGAAAATCCACGAATCAAAACAAACATAGTGTAGTACTAGAATTTCGACTAGAATGGGGTACGTTAAACGATTTGCTTGGAACCAATAGGCTAATCAAGTAGTGAACCAATTTAAAATCATTAGTTTCCACCGGTTGCTAAATCTCGGACACTGTGATTTCAAGCATGCAATTTGCTTCTCCATATTTGCTGAGTCGCATCGAACATGGAGGAGCCGGGCAAGCAGATTTGTTATTGTATGTTTTCTGATAGCTGATATGCAAAATGCAAAGTGTCATAAGAGCAAAGGCTTCAATCCCGTATCACCTCAAAAGCGCCTGAGAAACGCTGAAAGAACCCAGACTAGCCGGCAAAGGAAAAAAAAACAAGAAGAAGAACCCAAATATGGTTTAAAAACACTAAAGTAACTCTGAAAAAACACCAAAATACCGTAAATGCACTGTTCAACCAATTCAAGAATACTGTCTGTATGTTTTTAACAAAAAACTTCTACTTTCAGTTGGTTACTAATGAAAGTTAAATATTTATTTCCCACAGGCTTCTCACGGTTTCATTTCATCGCACCGTTGGGCCAAAGAGGTACGAGCATTCCTAAATCTCGAATCAGCAGGCTCCGGAGGCAAAGAGATGCTGTTCCAAAGTGGGCCGAAAAATCCTTGGTTGATTGAGATGTACTCCAAGGCAATCATGTACCCCTATGCACAGGCAGGTGCCGAAGAGGTCTTCCAATCGGGTGTCATTCCCTCGGACACTGATTTCAGAGTGTTTCGAGATGTCGGTGGTGTTCCGGGAATGGATTTTGCATACACGGCCAACGGATATCGTTACCACACAAAATATGACTCGATAGATTATATTCCAATGACGGTCTTACAAAGAACGGGTGACAATATACTTTCGTTGACAAAAACGATTGCCAATTCGGATAGACTAGCCGTTCAGCACAAAAGGACTGAACATACCGTGTACTTTGATTTCCTAGGAGTGTTCTTCGTGCATTACTCGGCGGATGTCGGACTAATGATCAATCTTTCGGTAGTGTTATTGTCAATAATAATACCATTCCTATCACTAGCCAGATCTACCAGCGGAACCCATGGTAGACAGATCCGCTCGGAAACAATGATTGGGTTTGTAGCTACTTTGTTGGGAGCTGGTGTTAGCGGTATGGTATGCTTCCTCATTGGATATCAACTAGATATCATAGGCCGACCTATGTCGTGGTATTCATCCACAAATCTAGTACTTGGAATCTACTGCTGTCCTGCACTTCTTTGCCAGTGTTTGGTGCATATACTTTGTAACAATATCTTTGGCAGCAAAACGGTAAGTACTCCAGGGCAATATTTGTGCCATACTAAAGATTCAAACTATTTTTTTTTTATGATTTCAGACACCCCTCAGTTTGGCACTAAAAGTCCAAGCTCGTTTAAATGGAGTCAATCTTTTCTGGGGAATGCTCACCTTGGGGATCACATTCACTGGTTACCGGGTTGCCTATATCTTTATGATTTTGATCTTCTTCTCGCTGATATCGAACACGTTGATTTCAATGTTCGCCGTCCAAAATTCCGTTAGTAAATGGCTTTACATTCATCTGTTCTTCCAAATATTCACCATTTTATGGAGTACTCAGTTCTACCATATGATGATGAATCTTTTTATACCTATTACGGGCCGCATTGGCGCTTCTATAAATCCCGATTTGATCATCGGAGCAATGGCCGCTTTCCTGACACTGCTAACCTGCAGCTACATGACACCATTGATATTCCTTTTGAAGAAAACTGACAAGTTAATCGGAGAACTAGTCGCAATAACTCTTATCGCTTTGGTATTAGCTTCGTGGACACACGTAGGATTTCCCTATCGCGACGATAGTTTGAAGTCACCAACGGTACAGCGACACTACATAACGGTTCGTAGCTCTAGATAATTGTGTAATAACTAACATAATTTCAACATTTTTTTTTTTTTCAATAGCACACGCTTCGGACATTCCATGACTACAATGGTGGGGTGCGCCATACCGATTCTGGATTTTTGCTACAAGAATTGGATCGTAATGCTAAGAAAACTATAGAAGGAATTGCCATGCCGGATGCGATCACACCAATGCGTGAAATACCAGCCTGCGAGAAGGAGCTGTTCTGTGCAATTCCATTCTACTCGATCTGGCATCAGGTGTTGTTTGAGTAAGTTGACATATGTCATTTTTCGTTTAACTTTTTATTAAGGTTCTCAGCGGAAGTGTTGGTACAATAAGTGTCTAGAATCTCATATACAACATTGCGAATTTTTGAACTCCAAAGACCATTCATTAGGCACAGTTGCTCATTTCGAAAAGTGTAGACAGCGAAGAATAGGTATTGCCATAATAATCATCAAATTCACGTACCTGGTGATATAAAATCAGCCCAGTGGCAGGCGCGTAGGCAACATGTTATACAGTGACAGCGGGCCCAGCACAGCAAAATAAATGATATGAGCCCGGGACATGCTGCCTACTGTCAAATGCTGCTCTTGGTATTGATGAATCTACGTTACGGTCGGCCAGCAGATGGAAATGATGTGAAAATGATAATTGGCGTTGACGGCACCGTCGAAAAATTTGCTCTTTCAGCAAATATAGACAGTTTCTTATAGGAATTTTCGGTGGAGTGAAAGGATAGTACAAAGTCCGCCATGTTTCACGCACAGTCTGACGTTTGCTTATGGATTTTCTCATAGGAGTAAAGAGCTACAGAGTCGCCGTCAACGCCAATGACGTTTTGCTAGCTGTCAAGTCGTATGGAATATTTTTTAGTACATCACCACTTTTGTGGTTTTGGATTTCTAACCTAGGTGTCGCATGCACTGCCCAAGTAACCAAAAGTTCTGATAAAAGGCTATTTATGGCTTAAGCATCTTGGTTGAAGGCGGTCTATAGAATTCTAAGCAGCCTCATTTTTAAGTCGTTATAAGAACTTGAAAGTTCCGGTACCATAATTGAAGAGCATTCTAAGCAGCCTCTGGCGGAACTTGAACGGAACTTTTAGAAAATAAATCAAAAAAGGTTTTTGTCCTCTACAACAAATTCTATATTTCGTTCGCACTTTTATGAAAGTTATTTTTAAAGGCAGGTATTAAATGTGTATTGATTTATTAGCATTAGAAGTAGTATTGGAGCTGTTGGAAGAATTAAACCCAGTCCTTCTGCGTGAGAGTCTCAGCACGAACCACTACGTCATCTGAAATATATTAAAGTGAGCTGTTGTCCCGCCTATTGTTGGAGTTTTCTGAGCCAGCTGACTGACTTGAATACGAAACACAACACCTTGATGAATTTAAATTGGTGTTTTTCGCATGGTATTCCATCACACTTGTGGCGCAGTGGTTAGCAATCGTAGATCACATGCTGAATACACGGGTTCGAATCCAGGAAATTACTTTTAATTTTTTTATTTTGGATCGAAGTTGCATGAATATAACAATTATGATTTATTCTGGCCACTGATTATTTCATATTTACGTACATTAAATTTTGTAACAAAAAAAGGTTTGTGCGGATTGCTTCATGTGGCTTGAAACTTCTGTCAGAACTTTATTTGAACTTTATGGAACTTGAAAGTTCTGTCGGAACTTTATTTGAACTTTATGGAACTTGAAAGTTCTGTCGGAACTTTATTTGAACTTTATGGAACTTGAAAGTTTTGTCGGAACTTTATTTGAACTTTATGGAACTTGAAAGTTCTGTCGGAACTTTATTTGAACTTTATGGAACTTGAAAGTTCTGTCGGAACTTTATTTGAACTTTATGGAACTTGAAAGTTCTGTCGGAACTTTATTTGAACTTTATGGAACTTGAATGTTCTGTCGGAACTTTATTTGAACTTTATGGAACTTGGAAGTGTTGAATGCGGAACTTTTGGTTACTTGGGTGGTGCAGTTTCGCGTAGATTCATCAATAGGCCTTGTCACTGGCCTGTGTAAAATAGACCCCATTAAGTGGTAATTTAGTCGCTTGTCCACTAACTCCTCTCCGCGATGCCGGCTAGGATTCGAGTAATCATAGGAAAAAACTGGCAACCAATCCCGGTGGGACCTTGGTCGTATGCTGACATGGAAGGAGGAGAGCTTCCCTCTTCATAGGAGGCGGCCTATACTATCTGGGCGTATGTTCTCCAAGTTACAGGCGGCTGATCATCGCCGTCGTGCCAGTGGGATGATCTTTTGGCGAGACAGGGGATTGCGCAGGCCCAACTAGCCGCCCAGAAAAAATATCGGTAGTTCGAACCCGGATCAAGCCGAACAGCCTGCATGACGTATCCAACGACAACGGTCAACGATGCATGAATTTCGCAGTATTCCGTGGAATGGTAGTCAGAAGCAGTGCTGAGATTTGTCATTGTCATTGACAAACTTTCGCGCGATATTGATGAATCTACGTTACGGTCGACCAGCAGATGGAGATGATGAAATGCCATTGAAACGCCAATGAATTCACTTCGGCCTATCGGATGAAGATAAAAATTGATTCGGTCGGAGCGCTTCTTTTGTTTTTGTGAATTATGGGTGCAAACCTTCATATCACGCGTTCTCATTGACTTCGTTCGGTAGCTTATTAACTAAAGTATCGTACCAAACCCATGATTGACTTGTTAACTCTGAAATCATGGATTTATTTGATGCCGAAGTAGATCTCTACCCTATACAACCTATAATTTTTTTTCCGGTTATCCCACCATATTCCCGGTTTTTCTGGTTACTTTCAGGTTCTTCAGGTTTTCCCAGTTCGCTGGCTATCCTGCTAAAATACACTAAAATTTATTTATTTATTTCATCAACCGATGTAGACTAGTACAAATACATATTCAAATTTGGTTTTCTTAAGAATATTTTTAAAAAAATGTCTGCTATTCTATTTTTACTTCTTACGAGTTATGATTCCGCATGGAGTTAAAATATAGTTTTAGTTTATACCGAGACATTTGAAAGTCAATGGATTCGCAGTATTGATTGTAATACCCCCTACAGACTATGGCTTATATCATGTAATATAGACTGTCTTGCAATAAGCACTCATACAACTAGTTTTCACTGGAAATCCTATACATGAGTGCTCATTGGAAGATAGCCTATATTACAATGGCCATAAGCCATAGTCTGTACGAGGTGTAAGACGCCATCATGTGATTTAATGGCCCAAATTTTACATAATTTGTGCGATGATGGGTTATGGAAAATAAATTTCGACTTCTGCGTTGTCGAGTAGGTGCATACAAATTTAAATTTGATACAAGTTCTGCTGAGTAAATGCGATGCGAAACGATATCGTTTACAAAAGAAACCATTGCATCACAGACAAACAGACGTAACTCTTTGGAAAAAAAAATTTCTTGAAAACATATAGTATCTCAAAACATAGGACCTCTTGCGGGCTTTTCGCGGAAAACAAGCTTGCTCGCTAACTCGCAAACAATATTGCATAGAAGTTTTAAAGAATGTATATAAACGTCAAAGTGATCCGATGCCAGCGCTGCGACGAGTATTTCACGGAACTGATAATATTCAAATCAACCGTTAAATTCGTGAACGAAGATACATAATGAAGTGTTACGTCTGTTTGTCTGTGATTGCATATTCACGTCGCTTTTTTAATGCTTGCATGTTTATAAGCATGCAGCGTGCTTCATATGATGGAAGAGGAAATGATGTCCAACCTAATTTACGAAGGACATATAATAGAAATTGCTTTTGTACTAATTCTAATTTTTCTTCGTGCTTGATTGAAAATGGAGACCATACAACGCTGCAATATTCCAGTATTGACCTCACATAGGCATTATATAGTGTTTTAATAGTGTATGGGTCCTGAAAGTTATAGCAAAAGCGCTTGATAAAGCCTAGCATGTTATTTGCCCTGTGAATAATTGTATTGTAATGGTCTAAGAAAGTTAGCTTGGGGTCTAAGATAATCCCTGAATCCCTAACACTTTCACATTTTTCTACATTCTGATTTCCTAATCCAATTTAAATGTTTGATGGTGTTCTTTTTCTGATATTAAGTTGCATTTTTTACATTCAGTTCTAATTAGCTTTTTTGCACCATGTGTAGAATATAGGTATTTCACTCTGGAATATATTGATATCTTCATCATTTCTTATTTCCAGAAAGAGCTTCATGTCGTCGGCATAGATTTGCAATTTTATTTTTTTGAGAATGAAGGAAATGTCGTTTACATACAGAATAAAAAGAAGAGGTCCCAAATAATACTGGGGGACTCCTGAGGTGGCTTAAATTGGTCTCGATTTCTTTCCGTTGAATTTAATTATTTGTTGGCGGTTAGTTAAATATAAAGAGAGAGAGAAGGATTAGTAATTTCGATTTAATTCCACTACCTTATTTGCTTATCCTTGACAGATACGCGTATTTCGTCTACAATGTGCAGACTTCTTCAGTGTCTTGTACTATTAGTAGGATTAGTAAAAAGCCAAAACAATGGAACAGTGAGTTCCATTGCTAGACTTTTAAAAAATACTGGACGAATTCCGTCAGGTCCAGAACCTTTTGAGGCGTCTAAATTCTTCAAACCCTGCAAAACATCCTGCAAACTTGAAGTTGATTGACGCCAATGTCCCTTGAAAATTATGGATAAGAAGCCGGAAAATGTCGTATAGATTTCTTGAAAAAAAATTGCAAAAAGATTACATTTTTTCCGAGCTATCCCCGACACGTTCGTCAAGATGCATTATTGATGGAAAATTGTCAGATTTTAATTTGGTTTTTACGTAATTGAAGAAGTTCTTTGAACAGGACTTTATTTCAAGTTCAGTTTTTAAATTAAATTCTTCAAATGCATTACTGATAGCTAAATCCAGTTGATCGCATATGTCCAATGAGATAGCCAAATTTTCACTATAATTGCAAGGGGGGCGACACATCTAAATCTCAAGTTTAGATGGTCAACAAATCTCACACTAGCGAATCAATCTTCGAACAATCTTCTTTCATTTGTCGCATCTACTTGCATCGCTCATCAATTTTTTGCAGGAAATCTTCAGAATCGTCATCAATCTTCTTTCTATCTACTCAGTGTGAGCGCAGCTAGCCACAGCAAAACACAATCTTTTTTGCATCGTAGATAGAGTCGTCCCCCTCGTATAATTGTGCTTTTGTAATGTTTATGTGCTTGCTGTTTCGATTTTTAAAGCT